CAGAGGAGGTTCCTCCCAAGAAGAAGAAGAAGAGAAGGAGAAGAGATTGGATTTATACCCCACCCTTCACTACCCAAAGGAGTCTCAGAGCGGCTTACAAACTCTTTTCCCTTCCCCTCCCCACAACAGACACCCTGTGAGGTAGGTGGGGCTGAGAGAGCTCTTGACAGAAAGTGCTCTTTTTCAAGGACAGCTCTTATCAGAACTACGCCTGGCCCAAGGCCATCCAGCCAGGTGCAAGTGGAGGAGTGGGAAATCAAACCCGGTTCTCCCAGATTAGAGTCCGCGCCCTTAACCACTACACCAAACTGGCCCAAGAAAACATGTCTAGAGTTGTATATTTACTCTCTTTTTTTCCTTGAAAGGTTCATGTATCGGGTGGTTCTTGGTCTTCTTGTAAGATATACAGCAGATAATTAAGTAATACTAATAAAAGTGCAGGACTGCATATTCCATACATGAACACTGTATTTCTTGGATGTCCTCTCTAATATCTCATTTCTGGCCTTATCTCCAGTGCAAATAAATAGCTGTCTAAAATGTGTGGCTGTCTACTTCCTAAATTTCATGTTTAGCAGGCAGGAAAAAAAAGAAAACGTTCATATCTTTTGTCATCTGCCGCCACTTGAAACATTTCTGTGTCGAAAGTGCATTTCGAATTCCATAGTCGGAGGCCAGTCTTCGTATTTACCGCGGTTTCTGGACTCTTCAAGCAGGTCCTGAAACCCAGATTGTGGGAACTGCAAGCGAGAGGAAAGGATCGAAGCTCAGCAACAGAGCATCCGAAAACAGGACGAGCTAAGTGACTTAAGCAGTGATGAGAATTCAGCCACAGGGTAAGGAAACCAGGGAGGCAGAGTCTGTTTCCGTACTGGATATCGACATGGACAGATATTCACTTTAATTTATGGCGGTGGGAAACTGCAGCTGCCTTATGGTGACCCCAGAGTGTTAAGAACATAAGAACATAAGAGATGCCAATGTTGGATCAGGCCAAAGGCCCATCCAGTCCAACACTCTGTATCACACAGTGGCCAAAAATACCAGGTGCCATCAGGAGGTCCACCAGTGGGGCTAGCCTGGGCTATCCAGGTGCAGATAGCTTTAACTTATAACGGCTTTGAAAATTAAGAAGTATTCATTAAGTTAGAAAGCCACCATTGGGATAGGTGCTATCCAATATATTACACAGAGGTTCACATGTATGAAGATTTTTTTGTCTTCTGGGCAGATGCTGTGGCCGTGAGCTCCGTGCAACGAGCTTGTTGTGAACTCACTAGGAAGGAGCCCCTTCTGGCAGAGCGAAGGTTCCTTACCTGGAGAATCTGAAAGAGGCAGAGAGAGATGCAGAGCAGGAACCCGTCCTGTCCTAGCAGACTCTGTCCCTTGTGGATGTGGCTCTTTCCCATGCATAATCTTATAAACCTCAATCATGTCACCCCTCAGCCGTCGTTTCTCCAAGCTAAAGAGCCCTAAGCACCTTAACCTTTCCTCAGTGTTTTCAAGGCAAGAGGTGTTCAGAGGTAGCCATTGCTTGCTGCTTCTTTTTTTAATTTTACATCATTCTTAGCAGATGTAACAGTTACAATCAAGTTTTTTACATTATTGTGAGTCTATTACATTACTTGTTTTCTAACCACTTATACAATCTGTACCATCTTTCTTTAAATTTAGCATCGTCTTTATCTAATTCCCTTTTGAAGCCGTCCATGCTTGTAGCTGCCACCACTTCCTGTGGCAGTGAATTCCAAGTGCTAATCACTCTTTGGGTGAAGAAGTATTTCCTCTTATCTGTTTTAACCCAGCAATTTCATGGAGTGCCCACGAGTTCTTGTATTGTGAGAAAGGGAGAAAAACCTCAATCATGTCACCCCTCCTGCCAGACTCGTGAGCCTAACCAAGGCCTGGCACGAATGCTCTCTGTGTGCAGCTTGTAGGCTGCTCGAGTGAAAGAGCAAGCAAACACAAAAATCAGTGCAATGGGGAAAATAATAATTTTATTCCTCTCTACGGCTTAAGCTTTTTCAGGCCGATCTGTATAATAGTATCAAGCAGGGCGCACAGCAACAGGAAGTCTCCCCGGCCTCTCCAGTTAAAAAGAACAGAGAGTGGGTGAGGTGAAAGCCCTCAGCTTGAGACACTGGAGAGCCACAGCCAGTCTGCGTGGAGAATACCAACCTTGATGGGCCAATGGTTGGATTCAGTGAAAGGCAGCTTCCTGTGTGTTCAGCTTCACATGTGAGAAAAACGAGTATTTTCTCCCATTCTGTATTTTCAGATAGTTGATCAGCTTTGACTTATTGTTGCTCTGGATTGGTCTCGGCCATTCGGCTTTCTCTTCAGAGATAGTTTTCAATCCAAAATCAAGAACATATAGAACAAAACATATCAATTAAATTCTACACCACCATGGAAGAAAGGTGATTGCAAGCCCCTTCAAGTTTCTTTGACTACCTCTGGGGGGGGGGGCTTTCAGTCCTCACAATCCCTGGCTGGTGAACACCACCAGTTTGGTGCAGTGGTTAGGAGTGTGGACTCTAACCTAGGAGAATCGGGGTTGGATTCCCCACTCCCCGCATGCATCCAGCTGGGTGACCTTGGGCCAGTCACGGTTCTCTCAGAGCTGTTCTCTCACGAGCAGTTCTCGAAAGAGCTCTCTCAGCCCCACCTACCTCACAGAGTGTCTGTTGTGGGGAGAAGGGAAAGGAGACTTTAAGCCGCTCTGAGACTCCTTCAGGTAGGGAAGAGTGGAGGAGGAGGAGATTGGATTTATACCCCACCCTTCACTACCCAAAGGAGTCTCAGAGTGGCTTACAAACTCCTTTTCCTTCTCCTCCCCACAACAGACATCCTGTGAGGTAGGTGGGGCTGATAGAGCTCTGACAGAAACTGCTCTTTTTCAAGGACAGCTCTTATCAGAACTACGGCTTGCCCAAGGTGATCCAGCAGCTGCAAGTGGAGGAGTGGGGAATCAAACCCGGTTCTCCCAGATTAGAGTCCGCGCACTTAACCACTACACCAAACTGGGGTATAAATGCAATCTCCTCCTCCTCCTTCCTGGGGGACCCCTCAACAATCTTGATAAATTCTGCTGCCACCAGCGACTCAGAGGATATTGCCTACTAAAGACCTGCCTTGCTATTTCAAGGGTCTGCCTGCTTACTGAAGCTTGCTGATTCACTCCATTAGCTAGGTAAGGGAGAGAATGACCCTAACCCTACACTTTCAAGCCATCACACTCTACTGATGGCAAGCTGGCCCTCCCTGTTAGTTTAGAGCTTAGCCCATCATGGCTCATGTGCAGTGCTCCCTCTAAGCTGAGTTAGTGTGAGCTAGCTCACAGGTTTTTAGCCTCCGGTTCACACATTTTTGTCTTAGCTCAGGAAGGATCACTCAGGAAGGATGGTCCAGAGCAAACTAATTTATGCAGTAGCCAAATCGCTCGCTCACAACTTTGATGCCAGTGGCTCACAAAGTAGAATTTTTGCTCACAAGACTCCACAGCTTAGAGGGAACATTGCTCATGTGTATTCAAGGTGAAGAGCAATGGCCTTGAATTCAAATGAAATTCAAACTGCCTAGAGTTTTGTATGCAGTTCTGGAGGCCTCACTTCAAAAGGATGTGGACTGAATGTAGTGGGTGCAGAAGAGTGTGACGAGGGTGATCGGGGGTCCTGGAGATCGAGCCCTACAAGGAAAGGCTGAAAGACTTGGGAATGCTCAGTCTAGGGAAGAAGAGGTTGAAGGGGGACATGATTTATTTCTTTAAGTATATGAAGGGCTATCATTTAGAGGAGGGCAGGGAGCTGATCCTGTTGGCAGCAGAGGATGGGACTCACAATCACGGGTGTAAATTATGGGCGGAAAGGTGCTGGATGGATATTAAAGGTAAAGGTTCCCTTGCTCGAAAGCCAGTCGAATCCGACTCTAGGGTTGCGGTGCTCATCTCCGTTCCAAAGCTGAAGAGCCAGCGCTGTCCGAAGACGTTTCCGTGGTCATGTGGCTGGCATGACTAAACACCAAGGCGCACGGAATGCTGTTACCTTCCCACCGAAGCGGTACCTATTTATCTACTTGCAATTTCTTGCTTTCGAACTGCTAGGTTCTGCAGGAGCTGGAACTAGAGATGGGAGCTCACTCCGTCATGCGGCACCTGGGTCTCGAACTGCTGAACTACTGACCTTCCACAGCCTGCAGTTCAGCGTCTTAACCACTTGAGCCACCGCAGCTCCACGGATGGATATTAGGGGGGGATATACATTAAGAGTAGTTCAGCAGTGGGGTCAGCTGCCTAGCGAGGTGGTGAGCTCCCCCTCATGGGCAGTCTTCAAGCAGCAGCTGAAAGAACCCTTATCAGGGATGCTTTAGAGGCAGATTCTGCATTGATCAGGGGGTTGGATGACATGGCCTGTATGCCCCCCTCCAGTTGTAAGTAGAAGAAGAAGAGGAGGAGAAGGAGGAGGAGGAGGAGGAGGAGATTGGATTGATACTCCGCCCTTCACAACCCTTTTATCATTCGAGTTGCCCTTTTCTGCACTTTTTCCAAAGCTATAATATCCTTTTTAAGATGTGGTGACCAGAACTGCGCACAGTATTCCAAATGAGGTCGCACCATTGATTTATATAGGGGCATTATGATATTGGCTGATCTGTTTTCAATACCCTTCCTAATAATCCCCAGCATAGCATTGGCCTTCTTTATTGCAGTCACACACTGTCTCGACAGTGATGCTATGTAATTTCCCTCACCAGTAACCCATTTGCAAATACAGTTAACCACTGCACCAAACTGGCTCTCTGATGCTATGTAATTACCCTCACCAGTAACCCATTTGCAAAGAAGCCAGGCTGAAAACTTGAGCCGTTTATTTTCAAAAGAAGGTTTGACTCACCCATTGTTTCCTTTCTCCTAGCAGATGTGTAAAGGCAAGACGTGAAGACAAGAGTCCACAAAGCAGAAAGCGCGCATCTCAACCAACACCTTGACAACTCTTCCCATGATGGACGATGCCCTGGGAAATGTTAATGACCCTAATTATACCTACCCTTCTTTCCCAAATGTCAGTAAACATTATGATAATGTTTCAGAAGATATGTCATCACATGACCCCTCTGATGATGAAAGAGATGTGAGTTTCAGAACTAATTTTATAACAGTCACTTTTTTCACTGAAGTGGTCATCTCCGTTTTCGGCACCTTGGGAAACGGGGTTGTCATCTGGTTCCTGGGCTTCTGCATTGAGAGGAATCCTTTCAGCACCTACATCCTGAACTTGGCCATTGCTGATTTGGGGGTCCTCCTATCAGTTCCAGTTAATACTTTTTCCCTCTGGTTTACATCTATTCCTAGCTCTGATGAAATTTCACTTGTGTCCCAATACCTGGCCCTATTAATGTACAGCGCTAGTCAATTTCTCCTGACGGCTATCAGCATTGACAGGTGTGTGGCCGTCTTCTTCCCACTTTGGCACCGATGCAAGCGGCCACCGCATTTATCCACCGTTGTGTGTGCACTGATTTGGGTCCTCTCCTTCCTGCTCACTTCGATTTCCTACGTTCTCATATTTCTTAATTTAAATGAGACGACGACGATCGGCGACTCTTACCAGTTGATTGCGAACGCCGTGCTCTGCCTCCCGGTCATGACGATTGCCACCGTGTCCCTGTTCATCAGAGTCTTTTTGAAAGCAGGACAGCATCGGAGGGGGAGGCTTTTGACCATCGTCTTGCTCACTCTTCTCTTCTTCCTCCTCTTTGCTTTTCCATATAATGTCATGAAGGTCCTCTCTGATCACAATTATGTCCCAGAATACACGACATTTGTTACAGGTGTATTAGCCTGTCTGAATAGCAGCGTAAACCCAGTCATTTATTTCCTGGTTGGGAGACGATGGAAGTCCAGACGGAGGGAGAGTGTGAAGATGATCCTCCAAAAGGTTTTCAAGGAGGAAAAAGGCTATACTGATGAAACCCCAGTTTAAATCCGGTACGATTCAATTCCAAGAGCCAAAAGCTTCTTCATTTATCACAGGCAGTTTCCACTGTGGTTTTCAGTTGTGAAACGCACAAAGAAATCTGTTGGGTTATTTAAGGCAGCAGACCTAGAGAAGAGCCCGGCACACGTGTGTATTCGCTTTAAAAATAAAGTTTACTAAATTACTTATGGGAAAGGGAGCTGGGAGTTCAAAACAATAAACATCCTGTCTAGCTTTTCTAATCTACATCGTGTCTCTTACTTTTACCTCACGTCTGAACCCCAGGCGAGAGTTAGAACACAGGCAGTAAACAGGGCTTTTTTTGTAGAAAAAGCACAGCAGGAACTCATTAGCATAATAGACCACACCCAACAGCAGGAACTCATTAGCATATTAGGCCACACCCCTGATACCACATCTCATTAGCATATTAGGCCACACCCCCATTTTACCAGAATTGTGGTCATCCAGCCACACCCACCTTTTGCTTCTTATTCTGTTTACTTTGTTTGTTGTCAAAACCCAGGGCTTTTTTTCTAGCAGGAACTCCTTTGCATGTTAGGCCACACACCCCTAACGTAGCCAGTTTCTGCTGTTGGGTGTGACCTATTATGCTAATGAGTTCCTGCTGGGCGTGGAAAACTCCGGAGCCAGCCGGAACTCCGTTCCTGTGCGTTCCTGCCCCAAAATAGCCCTGGCAGTAAACATTTTCTAAGCCTCCACCCCTGTGACCTCCTCAGATCTATTGATTAGCCAATAGACAATCCCAATACCGATTCATTATGCATATTTTCACCTACATTCTGGCATGTGATCTGTGCAGACCTTTCTATTGGCACTAAACAAACTAAATAGCTAGGAATTAGCATACACAACAACATGTTAATTCTTTCATGACATCAGGAAAGGCACTTGCTCATATCCCATCAAAAACCTGTAGGGTTAGGACACGTTCTGTTGCAAAGTATTTTTTAAAAAAATCTCCATCTCTGGACAGTCCCTGGCATCCTTTGAAGAGGAATCACACCACTGCAACTGGGAAGAAAGGGGCTAGAAGTACAGTGGGGCTCTTTTGTAATCCTTTTTCCATACCATAAACACCTGAAACCCAGACTTATTCCGCTCCCTAAGTTGAAGCACACAGTCCTCCTTTAGAAGTGGCTTGTTCCATAAAGTGTTTCGTGAGAAGAAATTATTTTTAAAAAAGATAAGACAAGATATCAGAATTGAGTCTCGCGACTGGAGATCTCAATCCCATTGATGAAAAGAAGTGACCCTAAATTGATTCTCCTTTCGGGATACAGGATAAAAAATAATAATTGGGCAAAACCTTACTTGTCCTTTGTGGCTACAGCAACATGTGAGGCCAGGAACCTTTACCATTCTGTTGCAAAGTATTTTTTTAAAAAAAATAAAATAAAATAAAATCTCCTTCTCTGGACAGTCCCTGGCATCCTTTGAAGAGGAATCACACCACTGCAACTGGGAAGAAAGGGGGTAGAATTACAGCAAGTCTCTTTCGTAATCCTTTTTCCATACCATAAACACCTGTAACCCAGACTTATTCCGCTCCCTGTTGAAGCACACAGTCCTCCTGTAGAAGTGGCCTGTTCCATAAGGTGTTTTGTGAGATGAAATTCTTTTTTTAAAAGATGACAAGATCTCAGACTTGAGCACCGCGACTGAAGATGATCACCTTCCATTTCTGGAAGGTCTCAATCCCATTGATGAAAAGAATTCCTTTTATCTGCAGTTCTATACTGTACCACCAGGGCTGCAAAATCACTGCCAATTCATAATCCTTGGTGAATTCATTCCTCATCTACCATACAAACACTGATCAGCTTCATCTTTCCGAAATATGACACATTCTTTCCTTGGGGTACCTTCCATTTAGGGCCCCTGGGTAGGATAGTTTGCTGAGTATACAATAGGGTTGCCAAGTTCCCGCTGTATGCTCAGCGGGGGACTCCATCCCTGTTCCAGGAGCGTGAGTGCAAAGCATGCACACGCCGCAACCACATTGCCCGGAAGCGACGCGGTTTGCTTTGGGGCTGGGATTTCCCCCAGGGCCCGATCTGCCGGCAGCGGGTAACGGGCCTCTGGGGTGGGGTTTTCCCCGCCCCCCGGGGGGACTTGGCAAGCCTAGTATACAACCATGCCATTTGTAGACCAGAAGAAGAGTAAAAGTAAAGGTTTCCCTTGCTTGAAAGCTAGTCGAATCTGACTCTAGGGGGTGGTGCTCATCTCTATTTCCAAGCCAAAGAGTCAGTGCTGTCCGAAGACATTTCCATGGTCATGTGGCCAGCATGACTAAGTGCCGAGGTGCACAGAATGCTGTTACCTTCCCTCCGAAGGTGTCCCTATTTATCTACTTGCAATTTCTTGCTTTCGAACTGCTAGGTGGGCAGGAGCTGGGGCCAGAGACGGGAGCTCACTCCGTCATGCAGCACTCGGGCCTCAAACTCAAAGCTCAACATCTTAACTTCTAAGTAGAATAGAGGGTTACATTTGGTATCTTCTGGCAAATTCTACGCATGCTGGAGGAGCAGGGTGGCACTCTTTCTTGCTTCAACTCTGTGCGTTTGCTCACACTCAAGTGCTCACCGAGTTCAGAAGAGCTTCCTCCCAAGAAAGTGTGTCTTCAACTGTACACTTACTCTTTTTCCTGAAAGGTTCACGTACCAGATGGTTCGTGGTCTTCTTGTAAAAAAAAACACAGCAAGCAAGTAAGTTATACTAATAACACACCCAGACCGCTTATTCCTTGCACACACATTATACTTTGATTTCCTGTCCAATATCTTGTTCATGGCTTTATCTCCAGTGCAAACCTGGCTGTTCTTTTTGCCAAGTGGTCTCACAGAGAAATCAAAGGGGAAAATTCATGTGTTTTCTTTCTCTCGGGTAAATCTTTCACAGGCCCAAATTAAAGCTTTCTGGGACACTGAGGTGGACAATCTCAAGGCTTGTCAAGATCACTGCTAGGTCTGGTCTATGTCTCTGAACTACTAACCAGCCACAAACAAGTCCCCCCCTTGTTGTGAAGCTGATCATTGTGGGTTATTGTCCAGCGTGTCAAAAGGAGCAGCAGCCAAGGGTGTGTAGGGCGTACCTTGAACTGAATGATTCTGACTAACCGAAATGTCCTGAAAATCAAAGGAGAACAAATTAAAGTTTTAAAAGATGTTCCATTTGAAATTAGGAAAAGAAGACAAACAATACAGAGACTTAGCATTGTTTTTGCAAAAAAAAAATCCACTCCTTACAGATGGATAATTTATTTATTTGTTTATTTATTTACTTCCAATTTATACCCCGCCTTGCTGGTACAAAGTGGCTCAAGGCGGCTTACAGACGTCAAAATACAATATAAGATCAATAAATACTATAAAATCCATAACAAAACAATTACATAAAGTGCTAGTACAAACAGTGCAAACTGATGGTGGCAGTTTCCTGTGCATGATCCAGTTAGAAAAGACAACCCGACGATGTAACAGGTCCGTGGCATATTCAATTTACGATGGTACATTAATCAGTGGCAGCTCCTAATCAAAGGCCTGGTGGAAGAGCTCCGTTTTACAGGCCCTGCGTAACTGTAAGAGGTCCCGCAGGGCCCTGATGTCCTCCAGGAGCTCATTCCACCAGTGTGGAGCCACCACTAAAAAAGCCCTTGCCCTCGTAATGGCCAATCTGGGGTCTTTTGGGCCAGGGAGAGTCAGGCAATTTTGTGACCCTGACCTCAGTGCTCTCTGGGGCACATATGGGGAAAGGCGGTCCCTCAGGTAGGCAGGTCCCCAACCACATAGGGCTTTAAAGGTCAAAACCAGCACCTTGAAATGAATCCGGTATGCTATTGGCAGCCAGTGCAATGCCTTCAGCACAGGCTGGATGTGATCTTGTATAGAGAGCCATATCAGCAGCCTGGCTGCTGCATTTTGCACCAGCTGCAGCTTCCGGATTTGAGACAAGGGCAGCCCCATGTAGAGAGTGTTGCAGTAGTCTAATCTCAAGGTGACCATAGCATGGATCACCATTGCCAGGTCATTGTGTTCAAGAAAGGGAACCAACTGCCTAATCAGCCGCAGATGGTAAAAGGCTGACCTGGCAGTGGCTGCTACCTGGGCCTCCATTGTTAAAGAGGTGTCCAGGAGCACACCCAAACTCCTGACCTTCGGCACTGGAACCAAAGGCACCCCATCAAAGGTTGGTAGTGGGATACCTACTCCTGAGCCGCTCCAACTCAGGCACAGGACTTCCATTTTTGTTGGATCCCATTTCAATCGGCTCCACAATACCTGAAAGCCTTATCTTCAACTTCCATGGCAAAAAAAGAGAAAAGATTGACTCTGTTCATAAAGCAAAAATGTTTCTGAAGCAACAACAGAAAGCAACAGATGGACCTGAGAAAGTGGAGGACAAAAAAGATGCAGATGATGAAGAAGATAAAGTTGGAGGAAGTTCTGATACCTCCTCGAGTAGCTCGGCAGAAACTTCGGATACTGAAGCAGAATTAGGGGCTGCTGCCCCTAAGCAGCTAAAAATTAAATTGGACCTTGATAAGAAGCATCTCCTGCCAACCTAGCAGTTCGAAAGCAAGAAATTGCAGGTAGATAGATAGGTACCACTTCGGTGGGAAGGTAACAGCGTTCCATGCGCCTTGGTGTTTAGTCATGCCAGCCACATGACCACGGAAACGTCTTCGGACAGCGCTGGCTCTTCAGCTTTGAAACGGAGATGAACACCGCAACCCTAGAGTCGGACTCGACTGGCTTTTGAGCAAGGGAACCTTTACCTTTACTAAGAAGCATAGAGGAAAGAAAAAAAGCAAAATAGACTAACATTGGCTGTGGTCACACATGTGAGAAAATGTGGGCAGGAAGCAAGGCTGTTTGCCCTGGGCTGAAATGACGCGCGTTTGTGTGATCAGACTTCGGCCCACGCGCCCCACAGTTCTGGATACTAGTAGCCTTTTCCCGGTGGCTTTTCTCCACACTCCTGCT